CGCAAATCGTCGTCAGACTTCATCAGCAAATAGAGCCATTATTTATCTTTAGCTAAGATTCATATATCTCCTTTCACAATCTTGTATCGTTCAATGACTTTTCCCTTCTTATCGTATTCGGCGCCACGATTATAATTACCAGCCTTTGTCTCGAATCTTAAAAGACTCCAACCCATACGAGTAAAACTTATCATTGACCTATCAAATCACAAATTCTTTCTGGCCACGACAACCGCGATACCAAGACCAAGCGCTCCAATCAGCCATGGCTTAACAGCCTTCCAGCTCGCAGTCAGCCACCGCTCCATCGCCGCCCTTTGGTGCTCCTTAAGTGCCTTTGCCTCATTGATGCGGGGAAACTCCACTCCCGGCACAGGCTTATCCAGAAACTCACACAAAGGCTCCCATCCCTGACCCAGCTGATAGACCAACTTGCGCTCTGGAGGGAGCAACTCGTCAATTTTCTTGAAGTACTCGTCATACACAGCTTCTGTGTTTGCGTCAAAGTCTTGTACAGAATAAGAACGGAAGAAGCCTTCTGTTGTCTTGATCATGGCATGTCCGCCGCGTCGACCTAGCACGAAAGAGATCGTGTAGATGACGAAGCGGAGTTTGGCGCTGTAAAGCGGCAGAACAAGACCCTCGCGAAAGCTGGGCCACCACTTATCGTAGTCACGGCGACAGATGACAACTTTTGCCTCTGGGTATGCCGCGATAAGCTGCTCTGCAAAGGCCGAGCCAAGCTCCGTGATAGCGCCGTACTTTCCATAGATCTGGTCCCATTCTTGGCGGGAAAACGGTGGCCGTTTGAGTTTGCCAGTGCGCGGATCAGGAAAAGTTCCATCTGCGGCGGCTTCAAAGAGCTTCCACTGCTCTGGTTGATCGACCATGTCTAAAGCGTGATGAGGTCGTAGGCCTAGGATGTCATACGCAGCGGCCATAGATGCAGTGCCCATCCTCCATAGTCCGACAGAGATGACTTGAGGGGGCCCGCTGTGCTCACTCTCTGGAACAGTGGCGAGCTTTCCAAGGCTTGGAGGAGCTGCAGACATTGTGGGCGTGTGTGTGATAGGCTTACTTTGCTGCTCTGTAATGAGGCGCCCCTCAGGTTTAAGCGACAAATATATGAGAAATGCTGTGTGAAAGGCCTGAACCATGCGTAAGGATGTGTTTTATTGCTGCCTCGGCTGTAAAAATACTTGGTAAGTCTCTACGCCGGAATTGTCTGGAAGTACAGGTCAACTTTCTTACATGTTCTGGGTCGGTTTAGTTCCAACTCGCAACCGCCGTACTTGTAAGGATTCCTCCGTCCTACGCTGAGATGAAACCAGCCAGTAAAGGGAAACCAGAAAGATCCTTCATCCCACTGTCGCAATTAAGCCTTACGTGGCTATGCGCATGTGCAGTATCAGCTTATCAACGGTATCTTACTATCAATAGCTATCTTCCTGACAAGTAGTAAGAGGCACATTGGTGTTCACAATCAACATGGAGTATATGCAGTTGGTAGTCATGATTTATGCCATGTAACGCCACTGTGGTCCGCCCCACTCGCATCCTGTAGGCTTCCGCGACCGGCCCGGTCAGCAAAGTATAGGCTAATAAAGCTTATGAGCCGCCAATGCAACCCTATATAACATCTCCCTGCAAGAGCCAGGCGACTTACAAGGAGTTCTCAGATAAAGGATCAATCTAGACTACTGCAGTAAGCAGCACAAAGTGACATAAAGCGGGCAACGGCTAGTTCAAGTAGGTGCGGGACACGGGAACTTGTAAAGGGGCGCGGGTCTGCGAATCCCCCGACGCATGGGCACTATACGAATATCCACTAGACTATGCATGTCAGCAAGGTCTGACCGGGATTTTTCTCTGGTAGGGGCGTGCGTGGTTGGTTGGGGGCATCAGCAAGGTATCTTGAAATGTGATGCCTGTTATATGCAAGGCAATGGGTAAAAGGATTTGTGGGATGTTGGTTGGCGAGTATCTTGTGCCGAATATCCGTGGACAGTCTTACTGCCTGGCACAAATGCACCGAGAAGCAGGCTAAATTATACTAAAAGGATGATCTGAGAATTTACGGATGACAGGATCGTATTATTGATTCAGTGGGAGTTTACTGTATTAACATGGGTTTATAACGATCTCACCAAATCTACTCGAGTTACCTGGTTTGTCATTCCTTATCGATAAGAGCATTTGCCTGTCAACCTGCCCTAGAGTTTAGTTGCCTTAAATAAATTAAGAATACAATATAATATAATAAATTAAGAATAATAATAAAATAGATTATAGAATCATTAAAGGCAAAAGAGTATATAATAGTAAACATACTGCTAGTCGTTAGGGACTTTTAAGTATTAAGATTTTAAAAGTTTATATAAGTATCTTAATTTTAAGTAGATAATATATAAAGACTTTTAAAATATAAATATTACTGAGGTAGCCCTGAAGAAATAAACATTTTAAATAAAATAGATTTTCAATTTATTTTACACTTATAAGATATCAATATTGACCTCCTCTTGTCTCCTCCTGATCTCGAGACAACTAAATGGATCTGCAACAAGACTAAAGCCATGCTTCAAGGTCTGTGGAGACTTAGCGCCCTCCACCAATCGCCATTCATACTTAAGCAAGATATGACACATGATGATTTTAATCTCGTTGGATGCAAAGAAGCGTCCAGGACAAGCATGTAAACCGTGGCCAAAACTGAGATATTCTGGGGAAGTGGATACGAATTGCGATTTATTCTCTTTGCCCTCTTCTTGGCGAGCGTTGTAGAATCTAAAACCGTCAAATGTGTTTGGATCTTGATAGTACTCAGGGTCCCAATGGCGGACGAGGGGGACGATAGAGAGCGTGTTTTGGCTGATCTTTGTGCCGTCTGAGAGAGTGATTGGTACTTCAGCAATTCTTTGAATGGTAGCTATGTGGTGAGTAGTATGTTAGTGATAAACAATGTGTAAGAAGCGGTCCGACAAGACATACTCTGGTTGATGGGCCTGATTCTCAAAGACTCCTTCATGAAACTATCAAGGCGCTTCATGTTGTACAGAGAGTTCTTCTTCCACCCTCCCTCCTGGAGCACCGAAATAATTTCATCTCGTAGTGGTTGGACGTACTGAGGATGTTGAATCAGATCAAACAACAGCTGCCCCACCATGTCTGCGGTAGTGTGTATAGCAACAAACGATAAAGCCAACTGAACCAACGCAGGATCATAGGAGCGGCCCTTTGCAATCTGCGGCAGCCACTCCAGCACATCAGCGTACTCTGTTGAGTCTCCTTTAGTTTTCATAGCTTCTCGCTCCTTGACGAGTCCGCCTATGAGCACTTGCGCATCCTTGACAGATTGCTGCAGTTCGCGAGTGTGAGGCAGAAATCTTTGGACTATGCGGCGAAGAACAGCTGGCCATGCGTTTAACTTGCCCACGGTCATTGTGAGTGAGTGAGTGTAGGTGGTGGTGATACGGAGAAGCTCTGGGTCTCTACACAGTTTGTCTCCCAGGAAGACTCTAGACGACACCTGGGCTACAGCTCTGAGGAGATTTGAGTGCACGTGGATCTTGTGCCAGTCTATCAGCCAGAATTAGCTGTTGCTATTTTGCAAGCCGGTGAGTAACTCACCAGTGTTATCCGTCCAGGAGCTCTTAAGCATGAATGATGTCTCTTCAGATAGAGCGTGTGTTAGTTGACCTTGAGTTTCGTCAGTATTAAATCTCAAAGTGTCCCCAGGGGAATTCGAACGTACCCAGTGCTGGAGTCACTTTAAGCTTGATTACATCTTGGATGATATCACCTCCGTAGCCAAATGTATGGAACGGCTCATAACCAGGGAGGTGAGAGTTCACAAACTACGCCGCACGAGTTAGCTATCAATCTCTGACAACTTTGGTCTTGAATGGCTCACCTTGGCGATAGCCCGTGCATGGTTCAACTGGGGGATATTACGCAGCTCGTCCGTATACTTAGGGTTAAGAACCGTCATCATTCCATGATCAGTCATGATACGAAACGGTCTGCCATTGTACTTCTTGAGACCATATTCTAGAAGTTGTCGGCCATTGCGTATGAAATGCTGCTTCACCTTGCCATTCGTGAACTGGAAGGCTCCTCGCGGGTTGATGAGCGGGTATTGGCTGCGCTGAGCGGCTAGATACCACGACGTCAATGCAACGACGAGAATACTACAGATAATCGCCGTCGTATCTTTGTCTTGAGACAGCATCGCCAAGATCTTGGCGGCCTCTGTGGTGAGATCCAAAGAGTAACCTTCCTTTCCAAGATGGAATGACTCTGTCGACCTTGTGTGGTTCATGACTGCTGGGCTGATTCTTGGCAATGTCGGGTTGATTCTTGGCAATACAGGCCGTTGGCTATGGTGTGTTGACAGTGTTATAAAACTCCCTGTACCAGACGCTTACGTGCATACCCCGCTACGGCAAGTTGCCTGTTGCATACGAAGGAGGCGAGAATTTGTGCCCTAGCAGATAAACAATATCGTGCGGCCTACTCAATCTGGTCAGCAATGTTTCATTCCGTCTGACTCAGTTGAGAATCTATTTTCGCACATGCAACGAAGGATCATGCAAATCCCAACCAACAAATACTACGTTGAGGAATCACTCAAGATTATGTCAAGGCACGGACTCTACTGTAACATTCGCAACAATGTGCCTTGAAGTACCTAGAATATGCAATAGAGCACCCCCCAAAAGTCCTAATCATCAGCCTGACCAACTGAGACACGCCCCCGTCAGCGCGGCCCGCAGGCGCTCTGCAGGGGTTAAAATCTGACATGCTACATGAATACGCTGCTGATTTGCCGATCTGTAGCAGGGACTCCGGGTACGCGGCACAGACACGGGCCATTGAAATGCTCTCAAAACTCCCTCGAAAAAGTCGGCTTGACTCCTGCTTGTTTGTAATCCGACCACCTTCATCCTCCTGACATCCTGACTATTTCGCGATAGTCACAATCGCTACTCCACAGCACCATGGAGGGAGAGTCGCGCCCCCAGTCACGTACCGGGGATAGTCAAGCCATCGAGAGTAAGCCTTCAGCGCCGAATGGACACGTCAGCTCGGCTACGGAGGATGCACCCACGCAGCTTGAGACGAGCTATGTGGAAGGGCTGCCTTTGTTACTTGTGATGGGTGCTGTGTCCATTGCATCGTTCCTTGTACTGCTAGACACATCCATCATAGCAACTGTGAGTGGCCTTTGTCATGGTGCTATGCGCCTACAAGGCATACCAAGCACAGAAATTAACAGCTCTACAGGCTATTCCCCAAATTACTTCTGATTTCCACTCGCTCAAAGACATCAGCTGGTATGGTTCAGCTTATCAGCTGTCAAGGTATGGAATATCCAAGTTGCGCAGTTTGAGTCCAGTTACGCTAACTAATCTTCTACTCCAGCGCGGTAATCCAACCTCTGGTTGGCAAGCTATATACACAGTTCTCTCTCAAAGTAAGAAGCCGCCAAGAATCAACCATCATTGGTTAGTGTTAACATGTTCTTGCAGTGGGTCTACCTGGCCTTCTTTGCTATCTTTGAAGTCGGGTCGCTTGTTTGCGGCGTCGCGCCCTCGTCGGATGTTCTTATCATCGGACGCGCGATAGCAGGCATTGGTGTTGCGGGGATATTTGCTGGGGGGTTGACAATCATCGCGTCGGCTATTCGTCCCGAAAAGAGATCAGGTACGTCATGGAATGCGTTCGGTTCGTTTGGTGCTGACAATGGACAGTGAATATGGGACTTATGATGGGAGGTCAGTGTGCACTATGCTACCTAACCCTTCTTTGCGCTTTTGTTCATCACTGACCGTGTTTCATACTATCAGTTGCTCAACTAGGTCTTGTGAGTGGTCCTCTTATCGGAGGAGCCTTGACGCAGCGTGCTTCGTGGCGATGGTGCAAGTGTCCTTATTCTAGTGGATGAGATATTGAACTAACACAGCAAACACAGGCTTCTACATCAACTTACCCATCGGAGCCATAGTCCTTGGGGGTATCTTGTTCATCAAGATAGCAGATCAACAGCCCGTGCCACCCGTCGCGCAAGCAGTGCGCGAACTTCCTAAGCGTCTCGACTTGATCGGATTTGTTATGTTCGCGGGCGCTTCTACTATGCTTATGCTAGCCTTGCAATGGGGCGGTACTACCTATGCGTGGAGTAGCGGAGTAACAATCGGCCTGTTCTGCGGATCGGCTGCCTCACTAACGGCATACGTCGCTTGGAGCTGGAATAGGGGCGATGAATCTCTGATTCCGCCGGTGCTCCTGAAGCAGCGAGTAGTCATTGCTTGCTTCTTCTTGACCCTCTTCATGATAGGCTCTGCGCTGATGTTGTCTTACTGGTTGCCGGTGTACTTCCAAGCAGTTCGTGGACAGAGCCCTATCGGTAGCGGTGTGAGCATGTTGCCAAATATCTTGGCTTCAGTTGTCTTCAGCATCGTGGGCGGTATCCTCAGTAAGTGATCAGTCTGCCCAATCTGACGAGGGCCTCTGCTGACTCTGTGTCTTCTTCAGTTGGTAAAGTGGGATACTATGTACCCCAGGCAGTCATTGGTACGGCTCTCTTAACAGTCGCAACAGGACTCTGCAGTACCTTGGATCCATACACATCCACTGGCAAGTGGGTTGGTTATCAGTTTCTCGCAGGAGTTGGACGAGGCCTTATGCAACAAGTACCTTACACAGCCATTCCCCATTCATGTTCGCAGCAGATGATTCCCATTGCCATGTCCTTTATGGTACTGGGTCAGTATATCGGCGGATCAATATTCCTCGCACTTTCAAACGTTGTTTTCAGCTCCAGTTTGGAGTCGTTGTTGAGAGTCTACGCGCCCAAGATTGATCCAGCCACAGTCACCGCAGCAGGAGCGTCAGCAGCAGACATGCGCAAGCTCATACCTGCAGACCAGTTGACTGGAGTCATCAAGGCTTATTCACTCAGCATCGATCGTGTTTTCTATCTGGGAACAGGGTCGGCTGCGGCCATGTTTGCAGCAGCCTTCTTTACGGGTTGGATTGATACGCGAGTACAGAAGGATAAGCACGAGTCTGTTCCTGATGAGGCGAGTAGCTCAAAGGAAAAGTCATAATAAGACAAACGATATCTCAGTAAAGCTATAGTCTAGAGAGGTTAGAAGCCTTTTAATAGAGCTTTAGCCCTGTATAGAAGTCTAGATTTATAAATCAGACTAATACGTAATGTGAATATCGACTTGCAGCGTTTCCTTTCTCGCCCACCATCCTGAGTAGTCGCTGCTTTAACCTGAGCCGTCCCTGAGCCTGACCCGAGTCTCGGCTGAGCCGATATCCTAGTGT